CCGACCTTACCCCCCCCCTCCCCTTTCTCCCACCCTTTAGCTCACCAATTTTCGCCTGCTTGAATCTGGTCTGGGGGAGCCAGTGGCAGATGAGTGGATCGCCCGCGGCGATTTCTTGCCCCTCTCCACAAGTGTTGATTTGCCTGGCGAGTTAGTCGTTGAGGCTGCCAGCGGCCGTGTCTTCCATCGTCCAACCGGCCGGCTGATTGCTCCCCTAATTGAGACGAGTTCGCAGGAGGCCACAGAGAGGGACCTGCAGGAGGCGGAGCCCGCTGATCCTCTTGTTGGCTCCCACCTACCCAGACCCGCCTGTACGACCACACGTACCCAGTCCCTGTCACCGATATCTCCAGTCGCCACACGTTCCGATGGTACCTGCTTCAAGGTATGTTCGGCCAGCACGGTGTGCGGATACTACAATCTTATAATACCCAAATCCAGGGTCGAGGTGCGGCTGGATGGCGACGACTAATAAGTCACAAATGATCATATCAGTGTCCTATGTCATTGTTGGTACCCCTCTTCTCTACATGCATATGTGTGTAGACGCATATGTTTGAAGAAAATAAGTTCTATGGGAAAGTCAGCAAACCTCATTCTGGAGATTTTCAAATCTGATTCCCCAGTCTGTCTTTAGACGCGCAGTAAATGTGCAAAAACAGTCATTAGTGCCCTGTCATTCCTGCCAACAAGCTGTTTTTGTACGCTGGCATCTCATTTAGAGTGGCTGTCGCCTTTTCCATTTTTTTCTTGGAGTCTATTTCGATGTGCTGGTTAATGCACGAGTCGCCGGAATATATGGCCTCAGGAATTCTCGAACTTAGATGGACTAACACCAATTATGTCTCAAGCAGATTTATGTCCAGTTTCCAGCCTATGCATGACGACTTGGGACAAGTGGTATCGTATTTTTTATTGCCAATTATTATTTTATGCGTTCAAAGGCCGATTTTGTAATTTGACCACAGTAAACTCCATTGCAGCCGTCGCATGGGAGTCCTGCGGACGACTTATTTCTTACCTAAATAGTCGACGCTGTCCTGAGGACGTACAAGCCGGGGACGTAGTGTAGCCGTCGGCTTACGTGCCAATGGTATTTGGTGCTTCCTCGGGCGTCTTTCAACAATTAAGAGCACATTCTTAATGTAAAGAAAATTGAACTTTCAACCGTTTTTGCGCATTTACTGCACAAATGACAGCTTCGAAAATTTGCGGAAAGGGTTCGCTGACATTCCTAAAGGACTTTATAAAATTACACTTATTGGTTAGTTCATCTTCCAGTACATGCGTATGAATCACGACCGTGAAGGTTTGCTAGAGATTAACGAGCAAGGACAATGCTAGGGTCAGCTGACGACGGCTAACAAGCCGGAAATGACCATATCGGTCTCCCTCATATTAGGGTGCACATAGGTCGCCGTTTGGTGCCTTGAAACAGAATAACTGTTGAATCTGGTGACAGCGACCTTGAGCAGGACGATGCTAGAGGAAGACGCTGTGTCACTGACCAAGAAAATGTCCTCATGCATATTCAGTAACGATACATTCCTGCGTAAGTGTGCACAGTCTACCTAAAGAGACGGAGTGGAAGATGGCATCCGACGGTTTTAATAGTCCAACCGAACCCTAGACCATGTTCCCATTCGGTTTGCCATGTCCCTGACCCTTGCCATCGGGAATAAACGCATGCAATTGTAAGGCGTAATTGATTCACAAATGAGGTCCAACTGATAGGTCAACAGTACAATCGAATTAAATTTCGTCAGCGTCCCGCCTCCTGCTGACGCTTTTCGTACGAAAGCGGATATCTTGCGACTGACTTGTACTGGGTGCAGCGGTGTTCATGCCTGATCTCAGCGGCCCAAACGCTGTCGCGGACAATGCCTCTTCACTCTTTAGAATTAGCTCGAGTCGGTCGGAAATGTGTTCACGCATAAGTGGACTTGCCGGGTCGTCCATTACCCCCTTATCCTATGGAATAAATAAGGTTTTTCAAAGTAGAACGGAGAAGTAAGATGTTCAAAAAACGTACGTTGGCAGGTTCGGCCACCCATGTCAATTATTCACAGTCCCGTCTCTTCTCGTTCAGAAACAAGTATATAGTGGCACAGCAAATGACGTCTTGCGTCCCACTTAACGTTTCCTCATTTGCACCTACAGGTCAACCGCACTGTGGACGACATCACCCCGGACACTCCAACCGTCGTTCTGTGAACAGAGGACATCTCACTAATCCCACCAACCTTGTACATTTTCCTCCCAAATTACTATATATTTTAAATTTCTAAAGCTCTTTTGACTAACGACGTTCGACGAGCGGATGTTTGCCAGATCCTGGCCACGGTCGTTCTCAACTGAGAGAGCTTTGTGCTAGGTTGACTTTTCAGCCGCCAAGAAGGTTCAGGGCTGGCGCAGGAGAACAGGGAATGAGGAAGAAACTTGCCCATCCTGATTTCTTCTGTAATTCCAATCCACAGTTTTTGTCCGTCTCTGTTGGTCATAGCCTGGCATTATTATTGCCTACAGGGTTTCTAGGCTCAAGCTCCAGGGCACAACGCAGGTAGTATTTTATATTGAGGCAGTGCGTTTGGTGAAACGGCACTGTTGTCGAAAGTGGTATGGTCGACAAGACAAAGATTCTCCAATCAAAAGTCAGGGAAGACGGTTTGAGTTGGACAACCTTTGCCGTTTTGGAAGTGCGCACACAAAGGCTCTGTAGGCAGTCGCCGTGAGCACGCTCTCCAGGCAAGTTGTTGTCTGTGTCCGCCTTCGAGGTTTTCCGACCCGGCGCGTGTGTGCGCATTTCGTTGTCTCCGCGTCCGCCAGCCAATCGGAGGGGGGACAACGTTGGTTGGCCTGGAGCACTCGCGAGGCTAGTGACAAGCCTCGTGTGTCTCGGCAGCGTATCGACAAGGAGTTTGGGGCGGACAGGAAGGCAGCGTGACAAAGGCGGAGGGCAAGGAGACGCGAACTGCCACATTGTCACGTGACTTGGGATGCGCCCGGTCGCATGTGATAGCGCGCCCGCTCGTGGCGTGGAGTGGGGCTATGACTGGTTGGTGATTGCAAATAAGCCAAACGTAGCCACCCCTCAGCTGTTTTGATGCTCCTTCTACTGGATGAGTTTTATAGAGCACTTCGTAACCGAGGAAGGATTGCCGTGGGTCTTGTCCACGGGCGGGCTTTCCAGCTAACTGCCTGGTGGTCAGCGCTGCCCTAGTTGTTAGAAGCTGTCTGTTTACTAATGTATATGCCTGATCGCAACCGGCAGGACGAGCCCGCAGCTAGGGGCGCTGAACCTCTAACAGGTCGCGAGTTCGAGCCTCGGGTGTTCCACACCTCGGGGTCGGGTGTGGCTGCTAACGACGGCCAGAAATGGCCATGCCAGTCTCTATCGGCAGTGCTACTCTGCTTGTCCGCTTACAGAACCATACGGGGAAAGGCGTGTGGTGTGGCCAGCCAATGGGAGGTCAGTTCCGGCCTCTCCAGTATTCACAGTAAGGAATAAAGGCGCAGTCTATGAAATAACTTGGGATTCTGTTTCATGTTCATCGGAATTGCGACTCCAACGGTCATATTTCAGAATTCCCTACCGGACTTGGTGGGAGGTTCATGTTCCGTATGTCATAGTGCCGTATTTTGGCCGTGTGGAATTTTATAGGGCAGTCGGCGTGGCCCACTCTAGCCCACCGCGCCTTGGTGGCGTTGCCGCTGCCGGTACGTCAGACCACCCGAGGGCCTGCCTATTTCGCATTTAACCTTCGTTTACAGCCCTTCCATTCCCCGCCACCCATGAACGCACCCAGCAGCTGGGCAAAGATTACCGCTGACGATCGCAAAACAAGGACTGCAGTTGATGTGGAGAGTGGACACGGAGTCGAGTCACGAAAGGAAGACATGACCACGCACGGCACAGTAGGCCACTAGATGCACGCGTGAGATCAGACAGCCAATCAGCGTGTGCTGTAGCATCGAGCGTGCTTCGTGCCTTTGCCCATGTGTGCGACCCAGTCAATGGCTGGTCGAACACTCGAGATTTTTCCCCGGGAGGACTCTCACGCCACAGGGCGGAGTGTTCTAGGACGCCCAGGGCTAGAAATAAATAAAGCAAGTTCTGATGAGTTGGAAACCGCATTTCACAGGCTAGGAATACAGCGGCTTCCCCTAGGCCCAGGACGCTGGAGTCAACTAAGACTGTAGTTGTGCCGACGCCTTCCGCCCATGGATCAAATGGTAAAGACTAAACGGTCGCTAGAAGGGTGCGTAAGCGTTAACTTTACCAGAAGAGGGAAATGAGGAGAGCTGGGAGTCGAGGTTAGAAATAATTTTACAAGCGCGTAGCAGACGAATGAAAACCGGGGACTGGAAGAGTATATCAGTTTGGATGGGGGAGGACATGCTACGGGAACGCAGACTGCCGGACCTGCAACGTATACCAGATTGCAGGCTGATCGGACGACAATGTTGCGGGTTTACACTGGCGTCGTCATTCGCGGCAGATTCTGCAGCGGGTTAGATGGTTAAGGAGTTTGAAGGACAGGTGGTTGGGACTTATGCGGGAGGCCCAGATGTCGAGGAACTAGCTTGCGGCCAAAAGCTTCTTGATGTCGGATTCCATGTCCTTAAAGAAAGAAGAATAATAAAATAGTCGTAGATATATGGACTGATAGCGGGTCCTACTGTACTAATAGACACCCTAGTAAACACCAGAGTTAGAGCAGCCGGTAGCAAGGTGCCGATCCTTCAGTTTAAAACTAATACTCAACCTTGCGACTTGTGTAAAGATTTTTCTATCACCGAAAGGATTACTTTCCGCCGCGAAAATATGTTGGCCAATCCCCGGCTTTATTTAATCCCCTGTCGTCAAGAAACTAGTATCCATGGTCATTTCAACCTGAGGCTCAGCAATTTTATTGTAGACAACACTCCGATGAAGGTGGGATTCCAAAATTTTGGGAATTTTCATCCAGCGTGAGATAAAATTCGATCCACTACTGAAAGATCACCGCGACCAAGTAAATTCACAGCTTATTATGAAAGAAGTTCTGATAAGTTGATTCAGAGAAGTCTAACAGCGGCAGTAGGTACGCTGAGCCAGGAAGGAATGGTGAAATTTCCACAGTCGTAGGCCACGACGTCCATAGCATGCTTTACGGGGCGAACACAGCGCCGGTGACTTGCACAGCCTCTACCGCCCTGTCCTCTCCTTCGTACTTGATACGGCTGCGATCATGCCTGCTCTAACCGGCCTCGATTATGTCACGAACTGTACCTCTCCACGCGTGACGATCCGCGACAGCAGATTTTGACAGTTCAACCCATTCCCTTCGCCAACGACGGAGACCGAATACCGAAGGTCCAAGAACAACATGTCTTGACGAACTGTGTCGAGCCAGGTTTTGAGCTGACCCCCTCTTCGACACCTCCAATGGGGCAACGGTGCCGGATCGAGGGCAGTAACACTGAGCTCCTGAGGCAGACGACGAAGAACGTGCCCAAACCACCTCAGTCGTCTTTCTTGGATGGCCTGAGCTATCCTTGCGATGTTGTCGCAGCGAGCGCGGACTGTCTCATTTGAGACGAAGTCGGTGAACTTCACTCGAAGGATGGTCCTCAAGCAGTGGTGGTCTAATACCTCCAGTTTTCGCTCGTCCTCCACGCGCAAAGCCCAGCATGCACAACCGTTAAGACAGACCGGACAGATGGACGGTGCACGCGAATCTTAGTGGCGATGGAGAGGTCACGTCGGATCCATAGGCATTTCCGAACGCTTGAGAACACCCCTCGGGTAGCATCGAGAGACAATGTCGACCTTACTCTGTCCATTAGGCAACAGCCTCTCCCAGAGGTATTTAAAACTATCTACTTCTTTAAGTTAACAGCCGTCAATCCCAAGGGGTGCCCTCTCCTGATCAGGGATGCAGTTTGAGAACACTTTGGTCTTTCCAGCGTTTATGGACAAACCGACCGATCTAGCGACCTCGTTCACCCGTGACACCATAGACTGCAGATCACCAAAACTTGAAGCAAGCAAGGCGATATCATCGGCATGGTCAAGATCGGTTAGTTGATGTCCGGGTGCAAACTCAACACCGTCACCTTCCTATAGGGCCCTCTCGACGATGCGGTCAATAGCAGAATGGGCGACAGGATAGAACCCTGTCGGACGCCAGGCCGAATACCGAACGGTTGGGAAAGATTGTTGCGAACCAGAACTCTCGCAGTAGTGGAGCGATAATAGGCCCTGATTATGGCGATGATTTTTGTCGGTACACCATCTAGCGCCATTATCCACCACAGGGACTCACGATGAATGGAATCAAACGCGGCGGCAAAGCCAATGAAGCAGACGGTCGTCGGCTTCATTAACTGGGGACCCCTTGTTGCAGCAAATCAGCGCATCCCACAGTATAAGAGAGATTACGCGCGTAAATTTACCGCGGAACGTAATAAATCCCGAATCAGGGAGCTGCCAACTGAGAGGATAAATGAGTTATCCCCAGAACTGAGAGTCAGACGACAATAGCCCCTTCCCAATGTACCCTTTACTGTATTCTCACCTCTGTGAGATACGAGCTACCCTACTGCAGCTCGCCGCATGTGGAGGGAACAAGGTCGTGTGTGGTACGCGTAGACGAGCGGTTTAGCTTCGTCGGCCACTGCGTTCGAGCCCGCTCTCGTTTTTTCTGACACGGCCCAGGTGGGTGGGGTAGGAGATTGCGGCAGATGCTGCGAAAGTCTCCGCCCTAAGTTCACTTCGGAGGGCGCGCGGTTGACGTCGTTTGCGTATGGGCGTGTCCTCGACAGTCACTCAATGCACGTGATACAAATCCGGTTTTAGAAGCAGCCGACCGCCAAGCAAGGATGAAGCTAGGCGATTCCCTGTGGCCTTGATAAGCAGTTAGTTTGTTAAACTTCAGTCACGGGGGCACGGCACCCCTGCTGTGTGGCGCAATACTACTCATTTGAAGGAGCCTTAACAACACAGCTCGTGCGAAAGTGTTTGGAAGGCCGCTGTCGAAGGACCTGTCGGGTGTCCGGCAGGCGAGGTTGAAGACAAGATCCAGTCTTCCAGAAGGTTCCTCTCAATGGGCATTATCACAAAAACCGGCCCCATGCATAAGGCTCCGATGGTAAGACGATGTCAGCACGACGGAAGGCCGGATCGGGTGCAGTGATTGACAAAAGTAAACAGCCCGTCTACGCGTGCCGGGCGACTCCGACCTCACATCCATGAGAATGCCATAACGGAGCTTTGGCAGCCTAGCTCTTGGTCCCCCATTCACTCAAAAGTATTCCCATGAACCCAACACAGGACCGAAATGAATGACATTATCTCACGATATGCGTTAGTCTGGCTGCACTGAGCCCTTGTGTGGAATGCATGTGTAGGCCTAGGTACTGCGCTCCAACAGCCCTGCCAACATAGATGAGGCGAGAACTCGAGGCATTTATAGGGATGCCCCTCTTCGTGGCAATTTGGCGCATTCATCTGTCACGACGTGCCAAAAGCAATAGGTATGATGGGATAACTGGGCCCACCACAAGTGGTTCATCAATTTGATCCTCATGACACTCTTAGTGCACGATACAGGTCCACCATTCTCCGAAGTCTGTCCCGCATGAAATAGGGACCAGCGGAACGCGCAGGCTGATAGTCAGAGCGTCTGCGTCCACCCCAGCTGCACTGTCGCTGTCAGCACAGTGGGAGTGAGGTGGATGCTGTGATAGTCTGCCTCATCATGAAGAACTTCACTTACAAGTCATCATGGATTTTCTCGAGATCACTAATGAGCCTCGTTGCTCTTCACGGTCGAACTTCGTCCACTGTAAACGACTAAAACAATCGATTGCAACCTGTTGTGCACATACATCTCTCGCCAGCTGACTCCATAGTAAAACTGGACTGAGCTTTTATCGGAATTTCTTCGTCCAACGCGTTCCCTTAAGCACAGTATACGCCGAAGTTCATATAATATTGGCAAAAAGTTTTATATGTGCGAAGCTTTGAAGAAGATTACTTATGAGTGCATGCAACAGCAGAAAACCTGAGACATCCGTTCGAGTAAGTAGAGGCGCGTTCGCCAACCAGGTTACAGAACGTGCTCGTCTCGTCGTGTCTCGGGGTTCAACCTAGAGCTCTTGCATGGCGGCTAGTGCTACGTGCAGAGAAGGGCCAGTAGCTCAATGGCGGGGCGTTGGACTACGTAACGCTCAACGATCAAAAAACCCGCGTTCGTATCTCAAGTCATTCCGACCTGAGGTTGGGTACAAGCGTTCTTTGGCCATCGAGAGTTGTTGGGGCCAACGCTCCACCACTGAGCTATGGGTCCGAGCACGTCCTGTAACTCGATCGGTGAGTGCATTGTCAACATAGAATTCCCGATCGCAAGCGAGAGGATAACGGGCCCGTGACTCAAAAGAAGGGCACTGCAACTCTGGGTTTGTGAAGGGCTAGCTGGTTGACTACGGCTAATAAGCCAAAAATAGCCATTCCTGTCTGCCTTTCTCTTTTGGTACCCCATTTCCCATGATAATCCATGTGCCCTACTATGCCGACTTCCCAAGGACGATTTCACCGGTCATCCCGACAGTGACAGTAAAAAAACGTCTGCATTGCCAGTTACGCTTTTCCTCACGAAGAATTGACAGAAGGTTAATGACTGATCTGCAGTATAGGATTTTTTTGAAAACGCCGTAATCCGAAACATCATTTGCTTGGAAGTACATGTAGATTATTTTTTATCATTGTTTAATTATTTATTTGTTGCTTTATGAGCTGAGGTCTGAAAAACTTGCCGATCATGGGCGAAAAGCTCCTGAAAATTCCTGTGTGAATATGATTGTCTGGACCAAAATATTTAATCCTTTGACAAAATAAGTCTTAAAAAATCGTATCTTCCATGGAAATATCCCAAGAAATGTGTCCTTTGTATAGACTGGCTAAGAACAGAACAACTCAGCAATCTTAAGTGACTATGATTTCCGCGTAAAATCGCTACGGATGGGAAAGTACAAACAGGAAACAAGCATAGAAATGTAGCATTCATTGTTTTGTAGTTTGTTGGGGCATCTAGGTAGATACCGAGGGAGTTGCGAGAAGCGGATGGTTCTCTAATTTAAGATAACCAGGCGGCGTTAATATAGACTTGCCTTGGGATCCGTAGTGGGCGAATATCGTGAATGAGGACGTCCATGGCGATCTATGAGAAACTTACTGAAGTTCCACTTGATCGAACTAAAACGTGACGTGAATACGAGGAAGGTGAGTGAGAAAAAAGGACAGAGGAGTAGTCATCGCTGACACACTGGACTGGTTTCCTGGTTTTAGTCAGTCTGTCAAATAATTTTCCTTCTTTAACCTTCAAAAAGACCAACGTTAAATCTGATCCATAAATTAAGACCCAGTTCATGCACTTACACACTATGAGCTACATGCCATATTTTAAAACTCCGAATAAAAGAAATAAAGCCGTCAAATTGGTGCACAATATGTCGGGCCAATATTACCCGCCTATTGTCCGTTTTGAAGATGCTTTAAGTGGCATTGTGACACTAGATCTAGAGGTAACAGTGATTTATCTCTCACTTCAGCATGAGGATACAATAAACAAAATGTAGTTCAATGTCACCAACTGGACAACATTGGAGTGCGTCGGTCTGGACTCTTTCAGAAATAGCAGTTTCCTTCCGTCCTGAAGTTATACGGTTGGTACTGCTGACAGAATGCAGTAAGTACTTAAGGAGCGACGGCGAGCTGTCTTTCTAGTCATAATCTCACGAATGAAGGCGACATTTCAAATCCCAGGTGTATATATAAGTGAAGAAGAAGAAGAAGAGGAGCCGAGCACCGGAACATTTTGTTTATTGTTCTGAGCTTTCGAATTCTTGCAGGAGTCCATCATCAGAGGTAGTAGTAGCAACAGAACAGGCGATAGTTATAGAACATGTAAGCCTTAAGGAGCGACTGCAAGTTGTCTGTCCAGTCATTATCTCAGCCCGTTGCAGATATAGCGGCAAACACCGCTCGCAGTGGAAATTCCACCGCTCTCCTATGCCAGTCCTAGATCTAATGAAAACAGTGAATGATAGGGCCTAGTTTTTAGGACCAGCTGATATTCCTAATTTAGGTTAAGTCGCCTTCTCAAGCTGCCCTACCATTGAGACTCTACCTGATACTTTCGGGCGCGGAAGCACTCCTCTGTTAACTTCTGCCCCAGGCCTACCTACAGTGAGTGACCGATCTCATGAAATGTTGGTTGAACTTCTGAAATGCGTTTTCGATTAGGAAGGATTACTTAGGCGTGGTTGCAATATGGCTTATTTTGCGGCATAATCTTATAACACGTCGGACTTGGCGGGTTGTCGGCTTTTAAATGCACTTCTTTTTAATCTCCTGTAGAAAGCGTACTCGGTAAAAAATGACTACTTAAGAAGCATGCATTTTTCCCATTGATTTTCGATGGTCTTGCAAATTTAAATATATTTTATAGAAACCATAAACAAAAATATGCTTTCTTTTGGTCAATAAATAGAGAATCACGTCTTCTTTACATTTTATACTTAAGGAAGAGTATAATTAGGTTTTAAAAATGTTTCTAATTATGAGACTTTTTAAGACCGCGAAATGTCCATTCACATAGCATCGTACCTGGACGTTTACCACTGTTCATAATGGACGTGTGAAACGACCCTCAACAACGTCTTACCACTGTCAGTGGAAAAGTGAAGAAGTGCGTTTATCCGTCATATTTATGCGCATATTTACAGTGAGTAACCGATCTCATGAAATGTTGGCTGAACTTCTGAAATGCGTTTTCGATTAGGAAGGATTACTTAGGCGTGATTGCAATACTGATTATCTTGCGGCATAATCTTGTAACATTTCGGACTCGGCAGGGTGTCAGCGCTCGAATACATTGCTTTTCAGTCTCGTGCAGAAAACGTAATCAGAAAAAAACTACTTAAGTAGCATACATTTTCCCATTGATTTTGGATGGTCTTACAAATTCAAATATATCTTATAGAAACCATAAAATAAATATGCTTTCTTTCAGTCGTTTGATAGAGAATCACGTCTTTTTTATATTTTATACTCAAAAAAGAATATAATCAGGTTTTAAAAAGTTTTTAATTTTGAGATTTTTCAGACCGCGCAATGTCCATTCATATTAGCATCGTACTTGGACGTTTACCACTGCTCATGATGGAATTTAGAACATAGTCCGCATCCATTGTATGATATCGTTTTAATGGCATAGAAATGAAATGTTGGCTGAAATTCAGAAATGAACTTTCGATTAGGAAAGATTACTTAGACGTGGTTGTAATATTGATTACCTTGCGGCAAAATCTTACAACGTTTCGGACTCGGCAGGATATCAGCTTTTGCATACACTGCCTTTCAATCGCCTGTAGGAACCATACTGGGTAAAAATGACTACTTCAGTAGCATGCACTTTTCCCTTGATTTTCGATGGTCTTGCAAATTCAAATATATCTTATAGAAACCATAAACAAAAATATGCCTTCTTTCAGTAAATTAATAGAGAATCACGTCTTCTTTATATTTGATACTCAAGGAAGGAGTATAATAAGGTTTTAAGAAAGTTTTTAATTATGAGATTTTTTAAGACCGCGCAATGTCCATTCACATAGAATCGTACCTGGCCGTTTACCACATCTCCTCATGAGATGTACAACATATTCCGCATCCATCGCGAAATTGCATGGACTCTGTATGATATCTTTTTTAATGGCATAGAAAAATATGTGATTTTCTTTACGCGGAGCGCATACACCTTGTAGACTGAAATTAGTAAGCGCAAATGCAACAACCGATCAGGCTCCAAATTATTCGGGAGTTAGAAAACTTTTTTAAAAACTTAATTATACTCCTTCTTCGAGTATAAAATATAAACAAGACGTGATTCTCTATCAAACAACTGAAGGAAAACATATTTTGTTTATGGTTTCTATAAGATATATTTGAATATGTAAGACCGACGAAAATCAATGGAAAAAAGGCATGATACTTGAGTGATCATTTTTTACCGAGTACGTTTTCTAAAGGAGACTGAAAAGCAGTGTATTCGAGCGCCGACACCCTGCCGAGTCCGAAATGTTATAAGATTATGCCGCAAGATAATCCATATTACAACCACGCCTAAGTAATCCTTCCTAATCGAAAACGCATTTCAGAAGTTCAGCCAACATTTCATGAGATCGGTCACTCACTGTATGTCGAACAAGCCTGAGCAAACCCACAGCAGGCTTTGTCTATGGGCAATCCGACATGATAAGACAACGTATTTGCATCAAAATATGTTCCAAGCAAACACAAGTAAGCCACAACTACGTACAATACGGTTCTCTGCATGCAAGGAATAAGCTAAAGCAATATCTACGATCATACAAAAACGGTATGTGGGGTTTAAAAATGCACCAGCAGTTATGAGATGCGGATAGAATTTATGACGGAGAGGATCTATGGCGAAATGTGGGCATCTAGAACTAAGTAAGGCTTGGGTCGGTACTCCAGTTCATGTTACTGCCACATTGCTGTACTCAAACAAGGGTGACAGATGTCCGTAAAAAAGATCTCACATCTCTTAGAGTTTAAACAGTTCTTAGGCTCTAACACTTTGGAATCAGGAATCCACTTGTGTAATTAGGGGATAAACTTAAAAAAATTAAGTACACAAAGCGTCTAAACTCGTGAAAGTTCAATTGAAATCCTTGCAGCAATTAAAAGCAAAGGTGCTTTAGTGGATGCGTAGGTTTGAGGACTAAACGTAGTGCATGTAACATGGTTTAACATCCACGACGGCATATAACGCATCGTGCATGTTAGCAGAACTTGTAGGCCAAATTACCGAGAACCCAAGATTATTAAAAGAATGATGTGTCACGCTTCCAAATAACAAACTAAAAAACATATGTTTTCTGGCAAACGGTCATTAAATTTGCATCCTCTCGAGGAAGGTGCTACATGTAATCTTCAAAGCACCCGTAAACGACATTTCTTTCACATGATGTTAGCGTATTGCCGCGGAAATGTGGAGATATGGTCGCATAAAGTAGACCATCAAAGTAAATACCCCGAGTAGGTCAACGATCACAATAAATGCATATCTCTAGACACGACATACATGCACTAGCAACTAAGCTGGGATACCTACAACAGATGGAGATTCTTCAAGGTAGCACAAAAGACTTATTCGTAAGAACCGTCTGAAACTGCTACCGCTGAGAGCAAAAACGCTTTTCAGATATTTACCGACTTATTTAAGCAAAATACCCCAACATCGTTAGAGTTGGGACAACGAGTAGAGACCTGAGAGTCTCATTTGTCTTTTACGCCTAACAGCTTGAAAAGTTTTAGATGCATATTAGGAACAAAGTGTGTACATTTTACAAGAAAGAATACGGGACGAAAGACAAAAGCGCAATAAAAATAAAAACCCACTTTGTGATTAAACCCGGGAGGGACTCTTGGAGGTAGGCAAAAATGGGATGTGCATCGGGTCCATTCACGTCAACCTTATCAAAGAAGTCGAAGCTGACTTGGTAGTTGGTGACCACAAATTGTTTGATCTCCTCATTAGTACCTGGCTCCTGTTAATAAGGTGGAGATTGGTAATAAGGTCACACTTTACTTACTTGACCACCAAATTGATTGCACGGAAAGGCGAGTATGCGAAGGCCCTGGTCAGCGTAGGTGGTATACAGTTCCTGTAGCTGACGATAATTGCGGTCCGTTAGACCTCATTCACTAGCCACGTTGACAACCAATACAACGTGGCCCCTTCGGAAGGCTAAGTGACAAATTAGAGGATGAGACTACCTGTACTGCTCCATCGATATTAATTTGCCGTCCATGTTCAGTGCATTAAAGTCGTAAAAGAGCCTCGATTGTTGTGGCTATGAGTTCGTTAAGAATGGTGGTAAGAAAACAAACAATGAACCGCTAAAAGGAAACAGCATGAACCCTCGAAAAAGTTCAAATCACGATGGGATGAAGCTGATATGGACGGTGAGTCAACATGGACTTATTATACTTGTGCACTTACAACTACAGAAAGATCTGAAGTGTTAAATTAACTAATGCAAGCTAAAAGGGAATATTTCAAATCTGTCTCTTTGTTTAATCCGTTCGTAGAGCAAAAATTAGTAGTGTCCTGGGAGACATGTATATTTTTGCTTTTGTCCCACTAAATTCATGAAACATGCTTCCGCGGGATAAGCAACTCGTTTTCCATGAAATGCTTTAATGCTCGATTATCCTGAAATCAACTGGCGGCTTTATATTGCGAAAATATATCCGAGAAAAAATTGGAGGAAAAGGAGGAGGAGGGGGAGCGGAAGAAGGCATACAGCCCCATATTTTCTTGTGAAAGAAAATGCAAAATCCGCCAACGGTGTAAATGGTAGGGACTTACGGTGTCAAACGAGATAGGGCACACAAATGTACCGAAAAGTAAAAGGCCAAACCAGGCAAGCCAGGATTTCATCTATAAACGGAGAAAAAATTAAAATTTGTGACGTCGGACAGTAAAATGTGAGAATTCCGCAAGTCGGATGGTTATTTATCAGGATAAGCCCAACACACAACTGCCAACCAAGCAGGAACATGGAGCTTGATAAGATGCAATGGGAGTTTCGAGCGAAGCTGCGAATAAGCAGCTTCAAAATGGACATGGAGGCTAATCGGTGCGATGAACAGGAAGAGCACCTTACTTGGAGTAAGGCTTATTTATTGAATGGCAAGGGCTAGTTGTGTGCGGCAAGTTGGAGAAAATGAAAGTAACCAAGGAAGTGAAGGGCATGAATTAGCCCTGCTAGCACCAGCCCCGTCAAGCCCCCGGGGGCAGAGAGGGCTGGACCTCGTATGGGCGAGGCTATGACGGGGCTGTGGACGCGATAGCCTCGTCCTCGAAAAAAAAACGTGCAGGGGACGCCATTCTCTCCGTGATATTAGCTCCACTTTTACGTTACCGGTATTTTCCCTTACCTAGTTCTCCGTACAGAAGGTTATACTATTCTACATTGGAAAGTGGAATACCCATACCCCTTATGTGTACTAAATGTTACCCACCATCATTTACTATAGTGATTGCACCGACAAATCAAACGTGTCCCGAGGTCTACACGAACAAAAGCAATGGACAGCAAGTATGTGCATGTGAGAACTTCTGGACAGACTTTTACTCAAAACTCAATGCGGTAAATGATTCTATGTCACACAACTTCGTCAAATAAGGAACAGTAATTCATGGAGATAATTAGAAAGTGACATGCAGAAGGTCAAACAATTCACTATTTGGAGCAATCCAAGGAAGGCCTAAATTGCATGCCTACTGTGATGAGTTACCAACTTCCCCTGAGACAGACAGAACGCTCCTTCAAAAGCAACAGGAAATCGGTATTTCCTACCTCAAAGTTTGCCAAACCTGAAATTGCCTACTATGTGTACCCGACAGTCCTGTATCAGAAAAAGACGCTTGAGCGCATAGGTCTAATGTAGGAAGGTTCCGGGCGCCGTAAAAATCTAGCCTACTCCAATGTCAATAACATCTGATTTTTCCACGCCTTGCTGTTCAGCCTCATCGTCAATTACCTGCTGTTTTAGTTCTTGTATTTCAAATTTTCTTCGCAAATGTTATCAGGCATATTAGAATTAAATACCCTACTTCATTCCGGCCAAAAGCAAATATCTTTAGGTTAAATGGCTCATCCACTGGAAGCAGATATCATGACACAGACGTTTGACACGTTTTAAGTCAGCAGCGAGGCGCTAGTCGAAAACAGCCTGGAAAGTTTTCAGACTCTGTATGGCTTTACCCATAAATACTACTATCGTGAGAAGTCGCGATAGGAGTACATCCAGTCACTGGATGATGTTACTATAGTAGCATCGGAGTAGCAATTCAATAGCGAGGCGACAGTGACTCGCTGTGAAAAGTCGCGATAGGTTTGGCCGATTAATCAGACCTTTTCCATTTGGTTGCCACGGAAACAGAGCCGCCAAACGACGCCACGCAGATGCTAGACGGCAAACCCTTCCTTTGCGACATATGTCTTTTAGCGCCTGCGAAAGCTCTTTCTCGTACTTTCCGTCCAATGTATAAACGGACGCTACAGCGGGGCGCATATCAGGACGTCCTGATACCGTACGGTAAAACCCCAGTTAAATTAAAATTGAGAATCTCGCATTTTCGAGCTCGCCATAGCGTATATGGCCACGGAACGAGTCCGCTGTCGCAAATTACCAGCTCGTTATGAGGGCGCATCGACCTTGATTGCCTGGACTAACCGGAACACGAAACGAGCTCGGGACCGCTGATTTGCGCCCTCGTTACGAGTTTGCAACGAGTTCGCTTTGCTATGTAGTGCCCCAAGAGAAATTTAAATGAGAGTGTTTTCCATGTTTCTATGTACATGCATACAGCCAAATGGACGAAATCCGTTATGAATCGGTGATACCTATCGCGACTCTTTGACGGCGAAGCGCTGACACCTCTTTATAGAATAGTTACTACGGCAGATGTCAAAAATTTGCTATATTTTAACTATCTAAAGTTACCACAGAATTAAGTATGAAGCAGTTAGCGACAAACCAGTGATGAAGGAGTTTTAATGACGTCTCTTGAAGCCATTAAAACGAGTGTCTCCTTACGATAGCAGCAAAGACGTGCCAAAGCTCGCAGTCACTGATGCCACATTTAGATGATTAAAATGAACTTCTGACCTTTACTCATTTAAACAATAAGAAACCAAGAGCACAACCCTCGTCCCTGTGTTTGGATGCGTTCTACAGAATGTTCTGTTACTTTTTACACGGAACGTGCAAGACTGTCAAACCAGCCTGAATCATAAAATTCCACGCAAAAATCAAAGAATATATTTATACGGCAGAATAATTAACACAAGATCATATCGAAGAGGCAAAAATGCTGTGGAAAATGACTTCGTTTGAAATGACATGGCAGCATCGGTCAGAACAAAACTCTTGATTTTCTGCTTGACTAATCCACCGTACAACTTTTAACTTTGCATTTGCACTTTATTTTCGAACTATTGTGTCAGACCCCGTTGTGATGACGTCAGCGGCTTATTTAAGATTCGAACCCGCGTGATCATGGATTGTACTTGGGTGTAGCCAACGTTTTAACCACCCGAATAACGAGGCTCCGACCGTTAGTGTTATCACAATGTTCCTTATTATAGGGCAAGTGTCTGGATGGCATAGATTATGATAAGAGGTGCGAAAATTCTCATAAAAGGATTCGGAATGTCAGTTGGCGGGCGTACGTGTGCGTTTCAGTACTTACTGTAGCTGTGAGTGAATAAGACAAGAGCGTTGTTTTTATTGGTTAGTTGAAATGCAAGTATCCGTCGTAAGAACCGTACGTATCACTTAGACTTTTTTTCCCCATCTGGGGTGGGAGGCTGGGGTGTGTGCCATAGAGGATAAAACACTCCATCGCATGCATTTTAATGAAAATTGATAATAGTCAATCAACGGAAAATGCAGTCTGCGGCCAGGTGAAATTTGGTGCAGGCAACAAAATCCCGAATAAATAGTTTTGGTTCGGAGCTGAGAGAGGCTGGCGTACTGGACGCCCCATGAGAGAGCCGGTACGACAACTTCTAACCACATAAGTACCACAATGATATTTTGCTGACGGGGTCTGCCAAATAAAAGTTTTACCTAGGATTTCGTTTGGGATCCAAGCCTACCTGTCATTGTATATTTTTCTTTTGAAACCTCCGCGCATGCATCTCTAAAGCTAAATGACGGAGATGACGGACGGACAATACACAGCATTCAAAATGATACTTAAAGAGCGCTAGCTCTAAAATCGCTCGAAGAAAGCCAAAAACTCTGAACCGAAATTAAGACATATAGGACGCAGAGGTTGACTAATGATGCGGGAAACGCTGAAAGACAGAGGACAGTATAAAGTGGACGAGATTACTTGACAGTTCGACCATCGGTTTCGATGATGTCCACCGTGTGCCCCACAGTTGCAGCAGCAATGGGAGCAGGGACGGTGACTTACGCAGGGGTTTATAGTGCCGGTAGACTTGCGTAGCATCTACCTACACTCTCTCCTCCTCCCCCGCCTGGACCCGGTGTCAAGACAGAGTCAAGAAGACCGGAGACGAGGGAGGCCGCAGGTGGATGGCTCGGACGGATCCTCACCTTGGCGTTCCACCACACCCCCTGGTCCACACAGCAAATAACCAGGATTTCAACCAACACAACAGAGATTTGGAGGCTGGCACGGCCGAAGCCGCACCTGGGCGTGCCGCCAACGCCTGGCTCGGATCCCACACTGTGGTGAGAATGCCATAAAGGCCACATTAAAAAGGAGCCATTGCAGCCTGACTCTCAGACCACCACTTGTCAAGGAGGAGGTCCAAGTTACTCCGTCAGTTGGCAACCTTCCAAGCCACGGCTTTTAGCGCACCGTGATAGCTTCAAGCGCGTCAGATTGTTTATAGTGAGGAGAAAGTGCGCTGAGTCGTCGACCTCACTCTCCCTTCCCATCCCCACACCCCTGCCGCTGTCCGAGCCGGTCAGAAGACTGGAGTTGGGAATGGGCGCGGTGGCTGACCTGGTCGACTGACCATGTCTGCGCGCGCCACAGCACGACCTGGCCCCCCATACACACACAAACACCAGGATTTCACACAGCGGGGGTTGAACGGCGTGTCTCTACCTTGCGTGAGAGGGCCGTGAAAGGTGCTGTTTCAGCTCGTCCCCAGCCCACCAGTCCGCCACTCCACATAACACACACAAACAACGCGACGAACTGCGTGAACCGAGAGCGGGCGTCAATCAGCAACCTTCCTATCCACGACGCTTGACGTGTCGGGATAGTCTCGGACTCAAGTCACCCGTGCAGCCGAAGCCGCATGGGGACCGAGTCGAGATGCACACTTTCCACTTGCGTGGGAGGTGGCAATTGACGTGACAGGACAAACATTGACGGGCGGACCATTAGCGTGTGAGGAGGGATGTGTGCAGGGAGTCATGCTGGGTTCTGAGCCCGGAGGGCAAGACGGGGAGAAGGGAACAGTTACGGCTCCCGTATATTACGAAATAAAAATGAGAAAGGAGACGACTGCGGAAGGTTTTCATGAGAAGTGAAGAGATTCAAACTCAGAGATCCTGTTTTAAAATCGGTCTCCAAAATGTCCCATTTTAGTATGAACCAGCAAAATATATCCCACCTCAGACGTGCCCTGGAATGTCCTTATGCATGAATTTAATGCTTTCCGGGCAACCAAAGTGTTAGCCTTTCATAAAATCTGGAAACCCTTACAAAGAGAAGGGCTGCGAAACTCTCACGCCAGTTTATTTGCCCGACGAATGATGGCACACAGACAATATGAGCATGTGAAACCAGTGCAGTCCATTTTATGCATTCGCGTGCCGATTGCGTACTCAGCAGAGCTCGATCAGTAAGAAAGTCCCTGGGCCTAAGATAGATTACATGCAGGAATAATTTATTCTCAGCTTCATACAATAATCGGTACGCAGACCCGAAAAATAAGCGTTGCGTGTTATTATCGCCGATTTCGCAGTTTCTCGTCGTGTCTATATTGGAACGATATAGGCTATGTGATCAAAGTCTATATCGAGTTCACATTTGTATATGGAAATGTCTATTCCGAGGTACGGTCGACTCGATATGAAGCAAACTAGTAGGGCAGTATAATAAATCAAGTAAATTCAATGGTTATTTGTGGCTGTGAACATTTAAATTACCTTGGGCCTGGATGTCAATGAATGTTGTAAGCCAATATGATCTTCGACCATCTCAAAAAAGAGCCAAATAGATTAGGTGGAATCGAAGAAAACAAACAAATTTACTTTCATAGGTTTGGCCTTAAGGAATAGAAAAACGTAAAATAGGTTGACCGAAAACAGACAGCAGACTCGTCAGAAAGATATTTCCAAACGCTGTTCTGATCCATCCCACAGTTGGCCGTCTTGAATCCAAAAAAGATAAAGGCTTTTATATAATAATATTTATGCGTATCTATGACGCGTCTGAGAGTTATTTGCTAGTTGGAAAAAGTAAACAGTCGGAATAGCCCATCAGTCGAAAACGCACATTCACTTGTGACCTCCGTAGATTTGGACAATGAACTAGGATATTCCGCTCCATGCGAAACTACATAATTTGGCTCTACAATGTTATTATGTTTGTCACTCCACATCATTTTGTGCCTTCTCTGCCTATCCAGTCTTTCCTGTAAGCCTACTATACGAATAATCGAATAATCTTAATTAACTTGTCTTGAAGCTCTATCAAATGTGCTTTTAATTTACAAGTCTTCATGTGTATAGAGATGGACATTATTTTGGTTGCAGTTAAAGTACCCAAATGCGTGCTACCTGGGAACTTCATTTTTGAGATGACAGAATCGGGTAGCACGAAGGAAGGTCACTTCCGGCAGCTATTTTTATCATTTGGTATTTTTTTGGGTTGAATAAGCTGACAGGAGTGGCATAACAGTAATAATAACCAGTATATTTGATTCCAATTTAGAGGTATTATCGGTATAAATGTACAGCATGGATTTAGCAAAGAACGAAGACCTGATGACACGGGGTTATGAGTTTGGTCAGCATAAACATTAATGTTGTTTAAAAGAAAAAAAACAGCCAGGTTATGAACTGCGGCAAGGACAGGGATTGTTAAGCATACGAGTGACGAGGCAACGCATGCTCCATTTCTTCTATAGGATAAATGTATCAAATTTGACAAGTCAGTGAACTGCAAACATTTGTTTGCCACTAAGGATCCATTAATTGGACGAAAGAAAGCATAAGCGACAGTGTTTTCATCCTGACAAGACAAAGCAGTCTAAACTTCACAAATAATTTTACTACGGGAGATGACCATAATGAATCTCATTTGTAGGACTTTTGGGGGCTGCTCTAAGTGCAAAAAAGCGAATTAAAGCGGAGGATAATTTTGCCTAGTGTCAGCGTTCCTAGGCAACATTATGTAAACAGGACGTGCGTCAACAGAATAGAACTGGCAATAACAGAGTGTATGGATAAAAAAAGAGATAATAGGATCTCGAAATGACCATGGTGTTGGGAGTCTCATGATGCATCAAGTTAGTCAGTTGCTCATATGATGCGCCAATTTAATGACAAAAACAGTAAAAATAGCCCGTTTTGCCATCTCCAAAGTCATAAAGTGTGAAGATCAGTGTGTCCGCAGAGTTTAACGAAAATTACATTTCATCATTATAGGTGCAACTATTTGGATAAAGAAATATTAGACGAGTTGCGTTTCCTTATGATTGTCAGTACGCAGGAGATTGAATAGGAATCGAGTATTCGAATCCAGATTTAGCGTGCTCTTACTAAAGACGGGATTTAATGCTACAAGTCCACATGTTCCCGAAGAAAAATAGACGACTGTTCTTGCGTTGAAGACAAGTCAGCCAAGTTCTCAATTCATGTACGGCCACACACCGCGATAAAAGTTGTCAAGTAAGTTCCATATTCCAAGTCGTTTGACTTGAAAACCTTTGATTTGCCAACCATTTTACCCCGGCAGGTCCTCAGGGAATCAAATTGGGGAAACGATTTCACTGGCAGAAAATCATAAATGCTGTCTAACGA